TTGCATCCTGCAAACATCTGCAGAGCTGGGCTGTTCCTTTTGGCTAGGCTGCTGTGGTAGTATATTTGCAGCTGGGTCCTTTCCAAGTTTACTCCTGGCAGCACTGAACAGATTGATTTCCCTTTAGCTTAATAGGGCCAGCACATGCAGGCACTGTGAGGCTGAAGGAGGGCTGGCCTGGCTTGGGAGTGGGGGGAGCTTTGCTTCAGTTGCCCATGAATAGCTCTGCTGGGTGGGTGCTGGTGCAAGAATCCTGTCTGTCTCCCCGCAAAAAGGAAAGAGATGTCTCCAGAATTTGCAGAGTTTGCCTGGCAGTGGGGAGGCAGATCCTCCAGCCCCTCAGACAGGTTGCTGCCAGTGGTCATGGATCAGTTGTGTCTCAGTGCTGCAGTGATGCTGGAAATGTTGCATCTTTTCCTGGCTTTTTTGTTGCCTCAGGCAATGCCCATATCTAAATGCAGCAGAGGTAGGCACAAGGAGCTTCTTATCACAGAAGTTCTGCCCTGGAGATGCTTCTTCCTGGCCTCCAGCAGCCTATAACGAGCTCCTCTCCTGCTCTGCAAACTTATGCATCTCTTCTGCATGTGCATCTTTCTCCATACCTTGTGGCAGTGACTTTCACAGCTCCGTGCACCACTGTCATTTTGAATGGCACTCCCAGGACACAGGCACTGAGCAGAGCAGTGGCCATGTCCAAGATGCTGCCATGGAAGCATTTGCTGAGTGTGCATTTTTTTCCGAGATCTGCTCATAGATCTTTTCATCAATTCCAGATGCATGGAGCTGTCAGGCCATGTTGAAACACATTCAGCAGGAAAGCTGCTGAGCCATGTAACCTTAGAGGGCTGCATTTTTTTTCCTTGTGTGCATATCAGAAACCTCGTGTGCAGAGGGCACAAACCATGTCTGCTCAAATCAGACCAAGCTGCAGGCAGGTTTTGAGCAAGTCCAGCTTGGCCCAGGACACCTTGCACCCTATCTCCTGCATGTCGTGGCAGGGATCTGTCTGTGCCTTGGCACTGCCAACATGTGCCTTGCTCCGGTTCGTGCTGAACAGTGATCTGGAAAAGGGCTTTATTGACAAGGAATGGCGAAGCTGGCAGTTTGGACTTGCATCAGACATGCACACAGCAAACTGGGGCCAGGAGAGAAGCAGGCATAATGAATGGGGAAGGGAGACTGCTCTTGGAAAGCTTCTAGCTTGGTGTGTAGGAGAAATTAAGCATTTGAAACAAGGGGGTTGCATGGTACTTCTGCACAGAGGCCTTATTCCTCCTGGATGCTGATAATTTTGTGTTTCCTATCAAGATGTCAGTTGCATTTCTTATGATAGCAGAGAGCTAGGCATGTTGCCCCAGGGAAGTACACCCCCTGCTTCAAATGCCTGTGATCCTCCTATTGCACCTGGCTGACATCTGCCTCGGCCTGCTGCCAGGTGACCTCCTGTAGCCACCAAGGAGACACGTGGTTTGGGAGGGACCTCTGATCAGGACAGAGCGTCCAGACCAGCCACTGTTGGCTCTGGTCCTGCTCTGAGCCCTGCTGATGACACTGCAGCATTTGGCAGGTTGCACGAAGCAGCTGGATTGTTTCTTTTCCTCTCTGTGATCTATTGTGAGCTAGTCCTATAGCTCCACCTTTTTATTCCTTCACTTGATTAGCATTTCTCTGTCTGTTCCTTGACTCAAGTTGGCTAAATTGGAATAAGGAAGCCTTCCTTGAGGATCATAGCTTGAGACATCCCTGTCTCCAAAGAGAGGAGAGCCATGCAGCCAAATGCCAGTTATGCCAGCTCCAGTCCCTGGGTACAGCTGGTGATGTGCTGATGGTCCAAGGTGAGAAAAGGAGGAAAAGCGCTTTCAGAAACGATAAGGGAAAAGGAGTATGTGCAGGAGAGAAGAGATCAAGGGAGGAAAGCACTTCTGATGAAGGATGGAGGTGATGAGGGGTGGTCACCAGGAGGCTGTGAGGCTGTTGACAAGACACATGCTTATCTCTCCTCGGCACAGGGCAATGCCTCCCATATTGAGGTTGTTACTGTGTTTTGGAGGTCGAGCTGAGGTATTTTCCTATCAAAGTCAGCATGTCTGATGAAGCTGGCTCCATACAGAGAAAACTGATGTTTGGTGGCTCTCAGTGCTGGTGGCAGTTTGCCCATGAGCACCGGGTCCCAGACAGCGGAGGGCTGCTGCACACATCTGGGATCACAGGCACAGGTTGGGGCAGGTGTGTGTGGGGTTAGGGCCCACGTCAGCTCTCTGGGGCCCTGTGATTCCACCCCAGATGTTCTCCTCACTGCTGCTGCTGGCAGGCTCGGCACTTCCCTGTCTGGCTGGAACAGAAGCAGGACATGTGCTCACCACCACGCCTGGCTCTCTCCATCCCTTTCCACAGAGCATCATATAGGGCCTTCCTCCATGTCCTGAGTTAACATTGCCTGGAGGTGGCACCTCTCTTGTCCCTGGACAGATGCCTTCCAGCAGCAGGTCTCATCCCTAGAACAGTGAGTGATTTTTCCTATTAAAGGCGGTGCTGTCGAATTATCCCATGTAAAATGCTTGACTGTGTTTCTTGGCTGAAGGGAGACTGTCATTAGTGCCAGGGAAATGCCAGCTCCCAGCTGGGGCTGCAGTAGTAAATCCTGGAGACTAGAGCAGGCTGGACTGCTCCTAGCACCTCCTTCCATCTCCTTACCAGAGGAAGACATCAAGGGAGGAGGGTAATAGGGGCTGCTAGGACCTCTGTTACCCAACCTCACTGCTGCAGCTCATTGTGCTGGTTATACAAGAGCTGTTGTTCTCTATGTGAACCTTCTCACATGCACATCCCCTATCATCCTGCTCCATGTTGCCTCTGGGCTACTTTTGTTTGTGGTTTTTCCCCTCAAGGGTAACCTCCTTGCAAGGAGTCTCCCTGCAGCCTCCATGCAGTTTCTATGCACTGGGAGGTGAGGGGTGCAGGGGGTTAATTATTTGGTTTGTCTGTTTCAAAAGGACTAGGAGGAATGGTAGGAAGTGTGTAGTGCTGGAAAAAGCTTAGCTAAGCTTTCAAGCATTCCTCTGCTGCTGGGACTGTTCTATCTGATCCAGCCAAGTTCAGGTCATTCTGTTTAATTTCTGCTGAACAAAACAGCTTTAAGTCAGGACCACATGAACCTCTGCTTGGGGTGTCTTCAGAGCTCCTCCCACAGACAGTGGTCCCAGGAGGGCTGCCCTTGCTGACATGGCTCTAGCAGCCATTATGTGCTATGGAGAGCCCATCTTTGGCTTAAGTTTGTTGTATTGGAGTGCCTGCATTTGGCTTTTGGGATTACAGCAAGGCGCACATTTGGGGCAGAGGATGATGATGCTTGTGTTGGTGTGCAGAGAGGTACGCTGCCAGGCACTGTGGCAGCTTGAAAATAGAGCCAAAGTTGTATGGCTTGAAACCAGGCCACCTGGAGGCAGTTCCTGAGCCTGAGAGCTGTAAGGTGATGGTGGTGGTTTCAGATAGACCACTGGAGCCATGCTCAGTGCCTGCAGGTTGTGGTGTAGATGGGGGCATGGAGGGATGCCATTAGACCACAGTGTTGACCTTCTCTTTTCACTTCCAGCTCTCTAACAGAAGAGATTGGGGCTGAATTGACAACACTGAAGGGTGCATTTGAGCAAGTCAAACACATGCCTCTGTTCGACTTCTTTTCCTTCCTCGTCTAGTGTTTTAATTCAGTCTCTGTTGTCTGTACCTCCAGCTTTTTAGATGCAGTAAATCTGAGTGGTCACAAATTGGATTCAGCCTCTTTGCTGAAGCAAAAATATTGTGTTCTAAAACTTTCCTGTAAGAATGACAATGGGAACAGTTTAGATTTTCGTTCCCAGAAGTGTTCCCTTAACTCTGAAGGTGGATAAGGATGTCAGAGTCAGAACTGCTACGCTTTGCAGCTGAATGCAGCAAGTACAAAAGCAAAGAAAGGGGCATTCCCATGATCTTTGTCTCCATCAAACAGTGGTCGCTGCCTTTGGAGTCATCAGCTCGGTAGGTCTGGAGTCGTATTTGGGATTTTGGTGTTTGCGATCACATTTATTAAAAAAAAAAAATTAAAAATCCCAACAATCACCCTTTGTTCTTAGGTGGAAATTGAGCAAATGTTTTCTCCATCAGTGCAAGTCCAAGTATAAAAGCCAGAGCTTCCTAGAACTAAGCTTCTTTCCAACCAGCTCTGTTGGCTCCAGTCGCTCTGCTCCTTCCAGCCAAGGCCATTCACACAGACAGTGGGCCACTGCCCAGGTCTCAGCGGCTGCTCCTGCATGCGATCTTTTGGCCCCAGTGCTCTGGTCCATCCTCAGACAGTTGAGGTGTCCATCCAAGCTGCATGTCTCAGGCTTTGCTATCAGACTGGAAGGGAAAACTGAGCTCAGACTGCTGGACTTCTGTGGATAACAAGCTCTGTTTTCACTTTCTCTCTTGTTTTATTTTTTCCTCTTGGACGCTAGAATCGAAAATTGGACCGTTTCAGCAGTCAGTGACTGCAGCCAGGGTTTGGCTTTGAATGAAGCAGTCTCAGTATCCTCTCTTAAATCAGGTGGTGGGGTCCTTCTCTGTGTCTCCTGGGTGCAGCCACTTGAATAGTAAGGAGCCCATCTCCAAGGAGCAGAGTTGTGTTGGCCATTGGTCACATGTCGTGTTGGGTACTATTGAGGAAACAAACAGCAAAGCCCAGAGAAGCTCATTGCTGCAGCCACCTTCAGCCATAGAGACCTAGGCCCTAATTTCTGGCTATTCCATAAGCCTGTGCCATGACTTTAAGCAAGTGTTTCTAAGCTGGTCCCTTGAAACTGCAGATCTAAGATGTTGTTTCCCCGTTTTACAAAAAGGACTGCCCATGCCTTTCTCACTCCCCCGTGGGGAGCTGCAGGATGTAATTAACATGCAGACCCATCATTTTGGGTGACCAGGCATCACGATTATTTTTTCTCCTTTTTTAGGTTTTGTGCAGACACAACAGGAAGTGCATCTGCTGCTGTGTGGTAGAGCGAGGCGATAGCAGTGGGGTCAGGAGTAACTCTTCAACTCTTTGGGTGCACATTCACCTGCCAGCAGGTGTGTTTGCTCTTCTGGGCTGGTCACCACCATTTCGGATTGGATATCACAAGTGGACCATTGGACTCTTTGTAGCTCAAGGACCCGGCCTTCCAAATCCCTGAAGACTCACCCCAGAAGGAACTGGGATTCTTTGCAGCTGGAGTCTCACTCATCTGGGGTTTCCAAACCTCCCCTTAATTGTGAAATTTGGCTCTGGAGTGAGTGCCCCATCCCTGAAGCATGTTCCATTCCCCCTGGCTGGAACATCCCATCCCAGCTTGGGGACAGCCCGCTCACCTCACTGCCCTTTTCTGTGCTCAGGAGCTGCCATGGGCCACCAAGGGCAGAGCTGTCGGTGTTCCAAGTGAAGACTGCTATGCAGTGGATAATGACATTCGTGCTTTTTTCTATTTTTGCTCCTATGGTAAATACCTCACTTGATGTCTTCCAGGACACCGTTTGCCTTTTCTGTCACTGTTACACTGGCAACTGATAGCTGTGAACTAATGCATCTGGGATCTCCTGCCACTTCCAGCAGCAAAGTAGCAGAAACTGCTAAATTCCAGCACTGCAAAATTAAATTCTGCTTTATTTTTCGCTTCCCTGGTCCAGGACAAAGCTTCCATTTCCCTGCTTGGTGTTTCAGTCTTTCCCTGCCGAGGCAGACTTTCTCAGTGCTTTGTCTGTCATGGGTATCATTCTGGTTTTATGCCAAATCTGTTCCTGGAGTATTGATCCCAGAGGTGATCTAGGAGATGTTATGCTAGAAATCCACCTCCTGCCCAACATTTCCCCTTCAAGCATTGCTTGCCTTCCAGCTGCCCGTATCCCTTACAGTTCCCCTTTTCAGCTTCTTCTCTGTTTTGAAGTACGTATTTCCTGTGGTGAGCTGTATCTCGTGCTGTACGTGTATCTGGGTGACTGTCTGCAGAAACTGCTTACGTTATTGATACTTCAGGTTGCATGGGTATGAGCTGTGCCCAGCGACTGCCAAGCTACATTTTATTCCCCTTTCCAGTTCTGCACTCCCATTTTTAATCATTTTTCTTTTCATCAGACTCTTTCCTTTAGCCTTGGTAATGCTGATGTCAGGCTGACGGGCTTGTCACTGCCTGAATCCTGTCTCCCAGCCACAGTCTTAAATTCAGGCACTGGATTTGCTGCTGTGGACACTGAGAACCTCCCTCTGTAATTAAGAGTCTCTGCAGCCAAGAGAGTGAATTCCTTCCCTAGTGCTTCCAGAAGGCTGGGATGGGCACGATCCAGTGTCTGCTCAGCTCACATATGACTGCCTTCATAATCAGCTAGTGCACCTAAATAGTCACAGCTTTCAAATCCACTCCTTTTTCCAAAGAAAACTGGCAAGTCATATAAAGCCCAGATCCTGCTGTGTTATTGATGTCACACCACTGCAAGAGAATGGCTTTGGTTTTGATGGGCTAGCACAAAAATCTGGGCTGCAGGGGAGAGAGTGAGGGAGAGTGTTGTCTTTCCAAGCTCTAAAGGAAAGACTAAAAGTGCAGGAGGCTCTAAAATGAGCTCCTTTTCAGCCTCTCCTCACTCCATGATTTCTGATCAGTGTTCTGCTTTAGCATGGGATTTGATGCTCTGTCCCTGCTACCTTCTTGCTTCATGCTTTGAAGCTGCAAAGGACAAATGTAATACTCCCTTCTGCCTGTCTCACTGAAAAGCATTTTGGATTCAGATGAGGGATGTCTGCTGTCTTTGTACACAAATGGTGATCCGGTGGTTGCTGGGGATTGACATTCTGTCCCCTTCAGAAATGGGATATGCTTTGGCTAACTGACATCTCTGCTTACAGATGCAATTACAGCAGTGCTAAATTTCTGTGGATTACCAGTGCCTGTGGTGGAATCCAGGAGCCTCTGTAACAAGCTATGAAGTCAGGAGGACAGGCAGCATGCAGAGATCTTGGCAGTTCCTTTGTGATGGAAGATCCTGCTGTACTGAGGGCCCTGGTGCCAAAATGCAGCACAAACCATTAATTTGCTCTGGTGGTACTCCCTCCTATACACTGTCATATATATCAATATTCCTTGGCCTTCCCAAACTGCTTGGAATCCCAGGAGCATCCCATGGATGAGTAACAGATGGTACAGTGGATGAGGAGACTCCATTTCCATGAACTGCCTCTTGCTGTCCGGGCTGCATCTGACACTTAATGGAAGAGACAGGCACAGATGAAGACAAGCCTTTTCCCTGCGTGTTTGGTTTCCTCTCTAGCTGTGCAGTTCAGCCTGCTATAGATCACTGGGGCTTAGTTTTTTTAAGGTGGGCTGTTGCGTGCTTCGGCTGAGTGGTATAGGGACAGAAGGGGGAGAGACCTCTGTGGGATTGGATGACAAAGTGGTCGGAATGGGTAAGAGAGGTTTTGTGTTCAAACTAGGATTTTGAGCTGGGTGATGAACACAAGTCCACACTGCTCCAAGCTGTGCTGGTGTGAGTTGTGCTCATTTGTAGCAGCTTCAGGTCACCCTGGGCTTGTTTATGTCCCTTGTCAGAAGAGTTTTGGATGATGCATGAGGTAACCTTGAAAACAAACGCCTCCACATTGCCTTTGCTAAAGGTAGGAGCAGCGCATGCAGTGCCCACACTGTTAACTCTAACCCACTTGAGTTCAGTGCTCTTTGCTCACAGCTGGGCCACGCAGGCAGTGAGTTCAATCCCATTCCTTTCAATTTGCAGAAAGCTGAGCTAGAAAATATGAAATGGGATCTGCTGGGTTCAGTGCCCCCAGCCCAGGCTGTGAGTTTTGGGTCCTCCGCTTGTCTCTCGTTAGCACTGAGGCCATTTCCCCTCCTGTGGGGTAACTGATACGAGGCAGTGAGGAAGGAACAGCTCCTCACTGAGTCATGTTGTGACCCATGGTGCCACAAGAAGCATTCTTTCCCATGTCAAGTGTGCTGGTGATGAAATCATGTGAGTTCAGCCAGACATTTCCCCTAATTACAGCCTGAAGGAGTGATGCTGAGCGTACACTGGATGGCTTTGTGCTTTGGAGCAGTTTTCATGTAGGCAAAATGTAAGCATGTGAAAAACAAGACAGAATTTGGAAGCAAAAAGCCTCGGTGTTAGAAACTTTCATGTTAACAGAAGCGGTGTGAGTGATGCCTGGCTCTGCCTGTAGGTTGCTACGTGGATGTGAATCCCTCTGTTTTCAGGTGCTCTTGAAATCAGAACAAGCTGTTCTCTTTCTGTATGGCCTTTCATGTGTTTAAAGGATGTCTGGACCTTTTGCATCCTAACTGTATATTTTATTGAAAAAAATAAGGGGGAGGAACAACAGCTATTTTCATTGAGAAGTCCCACACCACTGAAATTTTGTGCTGGTGGCTGTGTTTTTTAATTACTTCATATAAATCAGTCATTTCTTTTGACTAAAACCCAGCCTGTGAAGAGTCTACAGTCTGCTTAACATGCTGATAGCATTTGAGAACAGGTGAAAGGTAGAAATGACAATGGAGAAACATCGTCTATAGTGGGAGGAAAAAAATAAATCTCCCTGCATAGCTGAGCATCCTTCCCTAGAGCCACTTGGGATCACCTCTCTTTGGGGGACATCACCACATCTCCATGTGGCCTCTACCACCAGTTTGGACATCACCGGAGAGGGTGAGGGAGGCAGCCCCCAACTCCTCTGATTTTTGTTTTCTCTCCCTTTGCAGCTGCAGAAGACGGGGCTATGAGGACAGCCTGGCAGGGGAAGTCTGGTCGCAGCCCACTCCAGGCCCTGTATGAGAGCGATCAGGTGAGGGGATGGGGTGAGGAGGTTGGGGTGAAGGGGGAGTGGGATGACCCTTTCTTTCACCCCTCCACAATGTGCGGCACCAGTCAGCCCAGTGTCCCACACCAAAACCTCTAGCTGTGTCCAGAAGAAAAGGCCACAGTGTTTTAGGGGGTGATTGTTGATCAAAACTTCTGCTATGGTCTTTGTGGGTTCCTTCCAAGGATCTCTATGCATGCGCATATATATATGTATTTATGTATGTATATAAAGTCGCTGTTGGCCATGAAGCATTTATAATTCTGGGTCGCTTCAGTTCTCTCTATAATCTTGCCTGTACCCACTGAGGTATGGGACCTTGGTAGGTCCCTGCCCACATGGGACCATGCAACCAGGGCCAGATCCCTCCCCATGCTTGACACCAGCGTTCCAAACTAGGGTGGTGCTTTCATGTCTGCATGAAGCAGCTCAATTACATTTGCTTTGGGAAAAATGGCTAATGTGGACTTCCTTAGCCATGATGCCTGCGTACCCTAATCCTGCTGGAATGTCCTGGTGTTGTTTCCTTAAAAGTGATGCTTAATTTCTCTGGCTTTTAGAAGGGAAGGAAATTAAGGGAGCAATTTTGCTCTGAAATAACTGAAAGACATGCACTTATTCCAGTGGGCAGCTCTTGAAAAGTAGTCACATTTATTTGTTGCCATGCCTGCAGACAGTGTCTGTCTGTCTTTCTGTCTGTCTTTCCATTCCTATAGTCTTGAATTATGTGAGTGCAGGGAAAAACACCTGAAAAAAAACCACACTGTTAAAATGCTTGGGTTTTTTTTAGCACTTTCAAAAAGTGTTTCCAATCTAAAAAAAAAATGGAGGGCAGCCTCCAAACAAAACCTAGCAAGAGAAATTTCTACCAGAAAGTTTGGCTCAGTATCATGGTGTACCATGAAAGCATCTCTTCATGTATGATCACCATTTTCTTAGATTCAATGTTCCTCATATCCAGGTTGCCAACAATGTCAACATCATCTTTTGGTGGCATGTAGGATGTGTTGGCTTTGCAGGAGGAGGTTTTTGCCCAGGTCTTAGTCCCACGCCGAAGGCAAGGACTGCTGAATCCTGTGTGGTGTGAGCAGTTTGTTTGAGCATCCAACCTCCCCAGTGCTGCCTCTCTCATGTTCTGGTGGCCACCCAAAACACCCATCCAGGCCTCCAGGGAGAAGAAAGGGTGCGGCTGAAGCTTGGCACAGAGCATCCTTTGGCATGCATAAACCATGCCAGCCGCCTGCAGCAAGGATGCAGGGATTGAGGAGGTGGCCTGCTCTTGCCCTTCATCTTGTGTTGGATGCCAGAGGGACCCACAGGCTGTAGGGACAACTATGGAACTATGTGTTTCTAGCTAGACTATCTGCGTGGCCTGAAGTGCAAGCCACTGTTGTCTTGCAACACAGGGGTCGTTGCACTGCACTGGAGCAACAGCTCTGTGGGGTCAGAAATGGAGGGTAAAACCGTTAGCATCTGTGGACAAAATGAGGCTTTTGGGAGGTTCCTGACATTGGCCTTGGCGCTGAGTGTGAAATCTGCCATTCTCAGTGAGGAGACAGCAGAGGGAGCAGGCAGCAGGAGGAGGGGACTTTCCCCTTCTGAGTTCCTGGAAATGGTTTCCTTCCCCAGATGTGACAGTGTCATTCTGGAGTTTCTGATGAAAAGCAAGACAGGAAAAGTCACATCCCCAGATCAGCTGGGTGGTTTCAGCTGGGGTGATTCCAGAGAGGTCACAGCAGCAGGGGGCCATGGTGCAGGAATCATATGGGAGGAGCGGAGGGGAAGAAGGATGACTTGTGGACATCTCTGAACTGTCTTGCCTTAAGGGAGACCACACCCTGAGCTGAGACATTGGAGTGGCATGTGTGGAGAAGGAAGTCTTTCAGGCAAAGAGGGTCAGGAAGGGTATTCCCACCACCTCCAGTTCTTTGTCTGCACCACAGGGTCTGTGCTGAAGGCTCTGCCTCCACCTATCCCTCTGTCTTTGCAGCACACCATGGTGGGTTTTTGTGCATGCCCACACCTATGTGCCATATTTCTGCCTTGAGCTGTGGCTCCCAGATTCACAGCAAGCCCACAGGCACTGATGTCAGATGGCAGTGCCCCTTCTCAGGGAGGTATGTGGGACCCTGTGCTAGCAAAGGGACTTCATTGTTGTCCCATGGGGTTTAGGCCAGACTGGTACAAGGAAAAGAGCTTAAGCCCAATGCTGAGGTTGGCTGAGGTAACAAATACTTTGTGACCCTTTCTGCACTCCTGCTTTTCCCTCATGCCCTTGGCTTGTTTTCTCATCCTGCTCATCATCAGACTTTTTTTCTTTATTTTGCCCCCAGCAGGTCCAAGCATTAAATACACTAAAGCAAGTTGAGCTCAGAGTGATTGCTGTCTCCAAAAAGCCCACGAAAAGCCCCCTCCAAAAAAAAAACACCAGGAAAGGGAAAGTGATGGGAACAGTTGTGTGTAGGTCCTCATTGGCATGGGTGAGCCAGTGACCGTCTCTTTCTTTTTCCACAGTTTGAACAGTCATCACTGCAGGCAGTTCACCAGCAGCGACGGGAGCTGTTGAGCAACATCTGCAACCGTTACACCCGCAAGCGGCGGCTGCTGCGGCCGGATGACTTGCGGCACTTGGTGGTGGATGACACGCATGGGCTGCTCTACTGCTACGTGCCCAAAGTGGCTTGCACAAACTGGAAGCGGGTGATGATGGTCCTGACGGGGCAGGGCAAGTACCGGGATCCTCTGGAAATCCCTGCCAACGAGGCCCACGTGTCATCCAACCTGCACACTCTCTCTGAATACAGCATCCCTGAGATCAACCACCGCCTGCGCAGCTACCTCAAGTTCATCTTTGTGCGGGAGCCATTCGAGCGCCTGGTCTCAGCCTACCGCAACAAGTTCACCCGCAGCTACAACACGGCTTTCCACAAGCGCTACGGGACCAAGATCATCCGGCGGCACCGGCAGGAGCCCAGCGACAAGGCGCTGGAGCGCGGGGATGATGTGCGCTTCGAGGAGTTTGTCTACTACCTGCTGGATCCGCGGACTCAGCGGGAGGAGCCCTTCAACGAGCACTGGGAGCGCGTGCACTCGCTCTGCCACCCCTGCATCGTCCACTACGATGTGGTGGGCAAGTACGAGACCTTGGCCGAAGATGCCAACTACATCCTCCAGCTGGTGGGTGCTGACACAAGTGTCAAGTTCCCGTCCTCGTCCAAGACCACCAGAACCACGGACGACATGACGGCCCAGTTCTTCCAGGACATCAGCCCCTTCTACCAAAGACGACTCTTTAATTTATACAAAATGGACTACTTGCTCTTCAACTACTCCATCCCTTCTTACCTCCGCATCCGATGAGGCAGTTGCAGGGAAGAGAGATGGGGAGAGCTGGGTACTTCTCATCTTGCCACAACTCCTCTCATCCCACCCATGCTCATCTCTCGGTTCTCCCCATGCCCTCTCCATTACATTCTGTTCTGTGTGCCTCATTCAGGCACGGTCTGGAGGGAGAACACCCCGTAGAACACTGGGGCTGGAGTTTCTCCTTCCCTTTCTCTCCCACCCCTTGACTTTGGCACTTATCAGTGGGTACAGGAAGCTGCTGGCTTTGAAGGTTTGCCTTGGCTGGGGTTTTTCTTATGACTAAGAGATTCCTCTATAGATCCAAGTCTTGGGAAGGGTCCTTTTTCATGCAGGATCCTTTTGGTTGTTCCTCTTCCTCACTGGGCTGTTTGGGGTCAGCATGGGGAGCAGGATGGGGCTTGTCAGAGATTTACATAGGACCAGAAATAAAGCAATAATGTAAGTTTCTCTTGTTCATTTCAAATTGCTCCCACCTTCTTCCTGCTTTCTTGTCCTTCTATCCTGGCTTCCTGAGCCATCTCCATGGCTGTGGAGGGTGGCAATGTAAGCTGCATTTTGCTCTGACAGAGCCTAGAGGGCTTTTTGTTCCTCTTCTTCCATGTGCTCTCAGCTGGGATGCAAAATGCTGTGAATGGGGAGGAAGAAGCAGATGTGCAGCTGGTATGAGTGACAGAGATGGAACGATTTCTCCTGAACGACAGCAGCAGAGCCATCGATCTGTGCGTATGTGCATCTGGATTTCTTGTCAAGTCCAATAAATCCAGGTTCAGTTTTTTGTTTTCTCTTAATTATGTAAAAACAGGTATTGATTGTTTTGCAAAGCCATACATCCAGCACAGGTGCAGGTACACCCACTTGGCACAAAGGGATGGAGGAAGAGCGTCCTGCAGAGACGGTGATGTTGCATTGGGAAGGCTGGAGGAGTGTGTGTGTGCGTGTGAGAGAGAGAGAGAGAGAGAGCATTTATGCATGTGCATCAGAAAAAATAGAGAATTAAAAATGGAGACAGAGACACCTAGAGGAAATTTCCCCTTTGCTTGGTTGGCTTCGGACAATTCACTCCTTGAAGAAGAAACAGAAGGGAGTCGAAACACAAAAGAAAATTACAAACCCGGTCCCGGGGTTTTAAGTTCAAGCCAGTCCTAGGAGCTTTGTTTCTTTAAATCCATATTTAAAAAGTCTTTTCTGTTCAGCCCTGGTGAGGTGGCTGCCTTAGTAAATAAACGCAGTGGTAATAGAATTTGCTGTAGTGTGTCTGCTGGCCCAGCTGCGAGCACTTGACTTATTAGTGCAATACAATGGAGGTTTTATGAAACCCCAGTGTGCTCAGACTGTTTTAAGAAATAATGTTTTCATCTAACAACTTTTGGCTGTTACATCTTAACCTTTTTTGCTCTCTTGATTCTGATCTGAACCTTTCTGCTGACATTCCCCCCTTGGTTATGCTGTTTGGACAGTGGGTTTAGCAAGCATTGAATAAGAAAAGGAAATAAATAGAATTGTTGGTGATGCTGGCAGCCTGAGTGGTTCTCCCAGAGCTGGAGCTCTTGCAGAAATGGCCTTTCTAGAGATGAATCTCAGAGCACAGAAACAGCTGATGTATGCTGCAAATGTCAGCATTTGTGCTCGTTGTGTTCCTTCTGTGTTCTCGGGAGTCTTGCAGTCCCTGGATAGTGCTGCTTGGTGTTGGAAAAGAAATCATAGTTCCAATCACCACAAGTTCTTGGTCATTTGGAGTCGGTCAGCATCACAAAGGAATGGAGTTTCGGATGGATTTGTGTTCTTGAATACCATGTTCTGCAGGTAGCTGGTGGCACATTGAGTGGCAGGTACAAATATATCCTCGCTCCTGTGGGTGTGCATGCTGCTGGCTGGGAGAGCTCTGCTGTGACAGCAAGGAGCCAGCAACCAGACTTTGTCCATGATGGTGACTGGTGCTGGCTGGGGTGTTCCTTCCCTCTGCATTGTGTCCCCAGCATCCCCAGCAAGTCCCTGCTTTGCACAGTAGGGCTGCAGCCTACTTGTTGCATTCTGTGACATTCTGTGACATGCTGTCTTTGGGCTGATGCGTTTGGATATACCCACTTTGGGGCTTTTTCTACAGTTAAAATCCAGTGCATTTAGGTCACGTCCTCAGCCTTATGCCTAAACATCACTCCCCAAAGCACAGCGTGACAGTGACAGAAAATGGCAGCATGGAGCAGGTGGTGATGGAGCGAGGAGGACACCGTGTGACAGGAGGAGATAACTGCAGGTGTGACACCTGCGGGACTTCGTGCTGGAATCCAGTTCTCTCAGTGGCTTCTATTTTTAATTATCTTTTCCTGCATCCCTTCTTCTTAACAGATAAGGAATTATCAAAGTGATTGGATGAGAGGTCATGGCCTTACGCTGTCCCAGAGCAGGCTCAGGTTGGGTATTTGGAACATTTTCTTCTCTGAAAGAATGGTGATGCAGTGGCACAGGCTGCGCAGGGAGTGCTGGAGTCACCATCCCTGGAGATGTTACAGAACCACAGAGATGTGGCACGGAGTAATGTGGTCAGTGGGCAGAGTGGGGGGGGGGGGGTTGGGGTTGAACTCAGTGATCCCAGTGGTCTTTTCCAGCCTTAATGATGCTGTGGTTCTCTACCTCTTCTCAACCTAGGGCTGGGAGCGTAATCCTTGGTGCTTCTGCACCAGGGCAGTGATGGGTCAGGGCAGGACAAGCTGTGGGCCAAGCAGCCAAGGTCACCCCAGCAGTGGGAGCCCAAAGACTAACAGAGTAAATCAAGTGAGCTGTGATAATCGCACACGGCTTGGCCTCAGGCAAGGAACAACCTTGCAAACTCTCTTTGATGAACCCTTCCTTCTGCAACTCCCCCATCAAGTGCCTATTAAAAATTAATAGTTAAAAACCGAGAACCATGAAGCAGCATTCAGATCTCTGAGTCACAGCTGAGACAGGGCAGTGGGGTATGGTGTGAGGCTTGGGAGCTGCTGTGGAGCTCTCAGAGCCCCAGGGATGCAAAAATAAAGAACAGCATCACCTTTATCTATGTCTGTGTGCATGCACACATATACAGTGTAAATAGCAATTCTTTTATAATGTACAATAGAATTATTTCAAATAATTGTAATATTTATATGTTAATACATGGACTATATGTAATAAGTATGTGTATAAAATTTGTTGCCAGAATAATTAAATAGCAAACATGACTGTACTATTCTGTTCATAGTGTGGTTATATTTGTATAGGAGGGTGATGCTTGATTTGTGTGTGCTTATACGTGTGTGTACATGGTACCTATACAAACACATGTACACAAACACAGAGGAGCCTCCTCCCCTGTTGAGCCTTCCTACAGGCCAACAAACTCAAGTTCTGCCAAGCAGGAGCTTTCTTTCCCAAGCTCGCTGTGCACTGAAGCTTGGGTTGTTTACCAGCTGGAGGATTAAATAGACTTCCATTGAAGGGAAAAAACAAGTGTTTTTAAGTAGGCCCTGGAAGCAGTGTTTCGCTTGAAGAAGGCTTTTCAGACTTGCCTGTGTTTGCTGGCTTGCACTTCACTCATCCCTGGTGAGGATGCTGTGTCCTGAAAAAGCAGTTTTTTTCTGGAAAAATACTGTACAAGGATAGAGGCAGGGAGTTGAAGGTAAATCCTTCTTGCCTTGTTCTCTTAAATGAATTTGCTTATTTGGGAGCCATTGAGGAATAGACAAAGGTCACTGTCAACTCAGTTAGGGTTCTTAGGTGTGATGGGGGAGGCACAGCCCAGCCCACCCCTGAGCACATTGATGACACAGACACAACAGCTGAGACTCTCCTGTTGGGTTAGATTAAAAGGCAGAAATCACTCTGCAATGGCCATTTTCTGCCTGAGCTCTGTAACTCACATATCTGCTCTGAAGCTGTGTGAATTTCATGGAGGGAAGCATTTCACCCCCCAGTGAAATAACCTGGCAAACACCCCAGGTAGCACAAAGCTAGAGATTCACTAAAGGCTTTAAAAGCAGAGGATCCTGCAGGCATTTAACACCAAACCTCTGCTTTGAATGGGAGGCAAACACTTGACTTCCTTTGCAGTCCCAGCAGTGCTGCCCATCACTGCATGCTCAGCCTAGGAAAAACAGGCTCAGGTGCAGTTTCAGGAATGCTGATCCAAGCTCTGCTCCAGGGTACCGTACAGCCTTTGTCAGCAAGTGCCCTTTCTCATTTGCACCAGGAAAAAGAGAAAAGGAGAAAGGATAAAGTGTAAACAGTCTGCATGGCCATATAACTGGCCTTTTGCTGACCCTGAAAAACAAACAAAAAAACAAAACAAAACCAAACAAACCCTTATATTAAAACCATTTCCTTTGGTTATGTCACTGGTCTCGAAGCTGGAAGCAATTTTAAGTGCGCTCCCCACACTGAGTGCACAGGCACAGGGCTGACAATGGCTGCCCACTGAGTACTGCACACAGAACAGAGCTCCTGCAATGCACCCAATGCCAGGTTCCAGCACCAGCATCTCTGCCCTGAGCCCAGCATGGTTCCCCCCCAGCCCAGCTGAGTAGCACAAGTAGGGCACAGATGGCCCCCATTATGTGTTCCTGACTCTGCCTTCTGTCAACAGTTAAAACCACAACACACAGAGCTCTGCCCAGGAATCACCCAATGAGGGACAACCCAGTGCCAGGGCTTTAGGGCAGCCGTGCATTGGGTAATGGGGACTGATAATGGAGGAGCATGACCAGATCACTGCACAGCTCTGGTTGGGGGCATTTGAAGGACTGGAGGGGGCATGGGCAAAGCTGTGCTGTTAAAGGAGAGTGCCTGAGAGCCTGCAGAGGGCTGGGAGGATCTGCAGCCCAGCCTTGCCCTATTCACGTCCGCTGCAAAAGCATCAAGGACTGAGGGAACCTCTCAAAGCAGCAGAGACAGGCAGCAGAGTGGGGAAGAGAAAGATGGGGCAGGAGAAGTCATTTGGCAGGACTGCTCCAGCCAGCACTAGATTGAAGTTAATCAAGAGTGCACAAAATAAAGTGCTAAGCTCAAGTTATTAAAATAAGTATCTCTTAGTGCAGCTCTCTCAGAGTGAGATTGGCAATGAGATGCTTTCTGTGCTACCCTTGTGAGCCCCCTAGCCACTCAGTGCAGCTGTGTGCTTGGGGCTGACAGGTGGTGGGGAGAGAGAAAGGGGGAGAGGATGCCCCAAACTCTGACACTTCCCTGCCACAGAGTTGCTGCAAATACATCCCCCAGCTCAGTTGGTGTAGGGTTATTTACCCTTCAGGAGGCTGGGAAAGGTAACAGCTTATTCTTGCCCAGAGAGTGCTCATCTCCATGCTGAGTCTCCCAGCACTGAGGTCACCCCTGTGCAAGACCCCAGCCCTGCAGCAAGAGCAAAGGAACACCCACATCCAGAAGTCACCTAGCATAGCAATCCCAAGTACTGAAGAGCTGGTAGGGCCTTGA